TAAAAGAGAAAGAGCCAACTCTCCATTTTTTTTTTTTTTTTTCCCCCAATCCGGAGGATTTATGGCTTCTATCATAACCTATGCAGCTTGTTTTCACTTTCCAATAGCATTCCCTTTCCCCTGCCCCCAATTAGTGACTGCAGCCAAGTGGGCCTTGTGGGCCTTGCTATAAACACTGCTTTTTTTTTGACTTGGCTGATGCAAGAGGCAGAAGACAACCCCCAAATTTTCTTCCTGATGAAATATTGTTGCTGATCCAACTCCTCTGTCCTCTGCTAGAACAGCAACTCTATTTGCGATAGGTGGACTCCAGCCCTTCCTTTTTTTTGCCTCTTTCCTTTAAAGGTTGCTATGTTTGTTGTTAATCCAGAATTAATCCAGCAGCACATGGACAAGAAACCTGGAAATTACACAGTGGACTGCGTCTTAGACACATGGGGATTCATGTCATACCTGATCTGCTCTAATGGTGGGCTGCTGTTGAAAAGACAGGTCCTGTTTTCCCCACTCCTGTGCCAGAGCTGGTAACCCCGTGGCTGGCAGCCCGATTTGCTGGGAAACTGACTTACCAAAGGGGAAAAAAGGAGAATGAGGGTGTTTTTGTTGGATGAGTGAGCTGAACTGATTCATCCTGGGTACACCTGGTTGCTGGGTGGGACTCGAGTTCGCAAGATGCAGCCAGGGATGGGAAGCAGCAGCCCAAGGAGAGAAAGCATCCCACTCCACCATGGTCAAGGGAGAGATGGGGCATCTCCAAGAATGGGTCTGGTCTTAGGTGGGTTTCATCCCCTTGTGGAGCAATTTTTTTCTCATCACCCCACTGTAGAGGCAACCTTCTTACGTACCTTAACCTTCATCGGGTGACTTTGGTTCTTCAGCCCCAACTCCAGTTGTGTTTCAGCCGGTGCTTTGCTGAGTGGCACGTTCAGGGAGGCTGAGGGCTGCAGGGTGAAGAACTGGAGAACGGGGCGGCCGTTTCCTGACTCCATCAAACAATGAATTTTCAAACACCTCCCCTTTGTATTGTTTTTAATTAGTCCTTGATTTTTGGCTGTAGGGATTTCCGGCTTGGCGGTTACCAGGGCAACTGGAGGTAGCCTAGGTAGCATCCTCTTCATGTCCTCATTCCCGAGGTGGGGACCAGTCCCCAGGCAATGGCCTTCCACCCAGGGTGGGATGTGTTAGCACATCTCCCTTGGGTGGGAATGAGGTGGAAGAGTCTCAGCTGTGGATCGGAGAAGACTAGTGAGAAAAGACTTTAAGGAAGAGGAGGAGGAAATCAAGTGCAGCGAGAAGCACGAATTTGCAACAAGGCTTTCCTCTCTCCCACTCCGCCTCCCGACCATCAGCTGAGACCTGGGTTTCCTCTGCAGCCTGGTTTTAAAATCAGATTTTAATGGGTTTTTTTTGGCAGGGAAGTCTCAGTGTGAGGTTTCTGCCCGAGTCCTGACACACAATGGTGCAGGGGATGAGCAGAGCAGGGAGGAGGCATCAGGACACCTGCAGGCTCAGGGAGAGATGTGGTATTTGGGGAGAAGGCTAGCACCCTGCTAGGAGCTTGGTCCAACCTCAGCTCTGCTATCCACCACTGCATCTCCTTGGGGTTGTATCAGGATATTTGCCACGCAGAAAGAACGAGCAGGATGTAAAGACCAGAGCCCTGCAGCTGCTCCAAGCACCTGAAACGTGGGGGATGACGCTGCCCTCCCAGCAGCTCCTGTTGAAACCAGTGGGTATAACACCCCACCATGAGCTGTCAGATGGCCAAAATTTATCCCTGGGATCTCTCCACACCGCAACAGCTGTAGAAATGAAGAGGTCACGGCTGAACCAGCCTGAGAGCAGAACGTGTTCTCCTGGTGGCTCTTCCCTCGCCATCCCAGGTGATGGTGTCGGTGGTTTCTAGTCCGTGGTGTTTTCTCCAGGTGAATCTCCCCAGTGCTGCAGGAGGAGAACTTCATCTTCCTTTTACGAGGGGATACCTTGGCTTCCTGCCTTTGTCAACAGAGCAGCTCGCAGGCAGCTATCCAAAGGCAATTGGATGCGGTTTCAAATGCACGCTGTACAGAGATGAACTGTAAATGCCTGCGGCATGTTTCTTTCCCCGTTTCAAAGAGCACTATCGATTGCTCCATGCGATGATAAAGCATGCCTGTACCTGACTAAGCTCTTCGGTGATTATCTAGCAATGCAGGAGTCTCTTTCATGGACTGGAAGATGACCAGTACCTTTATTTCCCCTATCTTTAATCAGAGCTGTTGGCCAAGTGGCTTGTTAGCCTATGAATGCTTCATTCTGCTTTGTAAGGGAGTTTTTAACTGGTACTAGTGGATTGCATATCATCTGCAAAGCAATTGCACAGCCAGTAAGGGAGAATTTGTGGCAGTGCTACGAAGAGGCAATAGATGCTGTGCAAATACCTAAGCTGAGCTTTGCTTACTGCATTTCAGCCGCGTAAGGTTTTGTCCTTGCCGCTGGCTGGAGCCATGGATGTTGCAGTGGGAGTCACTGTATCTGCCCACTTGTGCCGATCATTTCTGCGGCTGATCGGGAAGGGAACTCCTGTGTCAAAAGGGGTTTGAGCAGTTCCATATCGAAGCCCAGCGCTGGCTTTGGTTTTCCTCTCAGTTCATAGAATTAGTTCGGAGGTGCTTTCCCTGTTGAGACATCAAGTGGGAATAGCCACTGGGTGGGATTTGGGAGAAGAAATACCAATAGACGGAGCTGACACTAATGCAGGTACTTCCCTGTACGCGAGACATTTAACATTTGAGTTTTTGCTTTTTTAGTTTCCAAAGAGCTCCCCACTGCTGTAATTTCCCCTGGTAATGAAACATTTCAGGGTGTTCCAAATGCAGCTTCATGAAAAAAAAAATAGTAATTAGGGAGGGACTGCAGAAGGGAGCAAGCTATGGTCTGTCTGCACAGAACCAGAGGGGATGAGCCTTGGTGTCATTAGGAAAGGGATATCTGGAAATGTGTCTGCAGAAAGGAGCTCTACCTCCTGCATCCCCTCTGCACACGTATGTGTTTTCTCCAGGAACAGTTGCGATGGGCTGGGACTAGTGCTCATCTTACTGATTTTCTGTGGTTTCTGTAGAATACTGGACTCCAGAGGATTGGCCTTTAGCAATGCTTTGGTTGCAGGCACTTTGGCGAGAGTCCCAATCCCTGTTCTCTATTTGCAGGAGGTCTGGGAGTTACCACCAGACGAGTCATATCAGCGATCAGGCCAATATTTTTGCAACGCTTTTTCCCCTTTGCACTTCTTTTCCACATTGGCAAGTAGTCCCTGATCGGTCTCCTGGGAAGGAGTGCAGGGCCAGGAAGACCATGCTGGAAAGGGAGAGAAACTGCTGCCAAGGGGTGGGTGAAGGAAGATGAAAGGAAGCATGAACTTCTAGGAAATGGTCCTGGGAAGGTGCAAGGGCTGTGGGGAAGGCACCTCAGCCAGATCAAAGGGTGTGTGGGAAAGATGACACTGCAAGGAAGGCAGTAAACTGCTTTTAAACAGCGGTGGGAAAGGTGAGAATAGAGACCAGGGACGCTGAAGTGGGAATGGGAATGCACATTTAAAGGGGACTCTCCCCCCCACCCCCAAATGACTGCTTGGCATGTGAGCCTCTGTTTATTGCCAGCAGCATAGCCAAAGAGCAGTGCTGACGGATCTGCTTGCCTGGTTTGGTGGAACTTTTGGTTGCCAGCCTCCCGGAGACTTTGTTTTTAAGGCATGAGGAGCCATCACCCGTGACTGCAGTGAGAACCAACGAGGACAGCCCTTGCTGTCTCTGCTGACCTGCAGGCTGCTGGCACGCTCCAGTTTACCCCTTCCAGAGCTGAAGACCTAAAGATTTTTTGGCTGGCTCTTGAAATCATGCAGCTGTTGTGGCCCACAGTTGTGCAGAGGAGCTGTTGGGATGTGATCTGAAGAGGTCCAGCAAAGCCGGTTAGGTGCAGATCAGCTCTCTTCCTCCCTTGGCTGCAATGATGGAGGGACTGAAATGTCTCAGCTGGAGGAGGGTCAAAACCAGAGGGGTGGAGAGAGCTCCTTGCTTGCTGTCATCGGTGATCAGGGAGAATACTTAATGTAATTTGCAAAGACTCCCCAGAGGCTCTATATGAAACAAATTGTCTCTCTCCACTTGATGCCTGTGCAGGAGGCTGGGCCCACCACAGCAGAGTCTGGGTTAGACTGAGCAGTCCTTTGTTCCTCTGCTCCGGCAGGCAAGGAGCCGAGCGGCTGTGTCTGTCCTGCCTGCCACCAGCCCGAGGAGGGTTCGTTTTAGCCACCTGATATAAAGCAATGATCTTACCTACCTAAACACTTCTAAATTTGCATCTGAAGTCTAAGCAAGGCAGACGTGCTGTCCATTTGGGGAGCAGGGATCTGGCCTTTCTAGCTGTTCATCCTGCATGATGTTCTGATGATGCCGTTGTCTCTTATCTATAGGAAAATTGAACAAAGCTTTGGTTTTTCCTTCCCTGATTAAGTATTTTGGACACCTAAGGCTCCCACTGAGCGCACATCCTAAACGATTTCTCCAGCCTGTTAATGCAGGGTCTTGAACCTGGCATTCCCAAATCTCACAGGGATGCCCTGACATGAAGACCTCTGTCTGCTGAAGTTTGCCGGGATGTAAAATGACTCAGTGTTTAGGCTGTCATTTAGCTTCTTCCATGGTCCAGTCAAAAGGATGCATGTTGGATAGATCTTGCTTTAAGGCAGTCTACTGTTCTTACAGCTAGTTTCCAGTTGTGTCTTAACCTGGTCAGATCTGCAGACCGTTGACCCAGTTTGTTTTCTCCCTTAAGTTCCCACTGGGGTTCATAACATGAGAGACAAAGTGTTTGGGACATCCACGCTATTTAAGGACATCCACTGAATTTATCCCTTTGAAAGACAGAAGAGAAGACTGCATGACTCTAACTGTTACACATCTTCAGTGAAGTAATTTCTATGGCAATGAAGTTTATTTTCTTATCGTCTTGTTTTCCAGGTCAACAATGCAGTTCCTAGCCTGGTTCAGTTTGCTGCTTCTCCTTCCTTGTTTTGATACCACCAAAACCTGCTTCCCCGGCTGCCACTGTGAAGTGGAAAGCTTTGGTCTCTTTGACAGCTTTAGCCTGACCAAGGTGGACTGCAGTGGAATAGGCTCACACATTGTTCCTGTCCCAATCCCTCTGGATACCTCCTACTTGGATCTATCATCAAACAAACTGGAAACAATCAATGAATCAATGCTTACTGGCCCTGGGTACACCACCTTGGTGAGCCTCGACCTGAGCTACAACAAAATCGCCAAGATTTCCTCCACAACCTTCTCCAGGCTTCGGTACCTGGAGTCCTTGGATTTGAGTCATAACTCTCTGGAAGTCCTTCCGGAGGACTGTTTCTCCAGTTCTCCTTTGGGTGACATAGATTTGAGCAATAACAAGCTTTTGGATATAGCTATGGACATTTTTGCTTCAAAAGGCCAAGGAAAACCCCTCAACGTGGATCTATCAAATAATATGCTCAGCACAATTACGAGGCACCGTGAAAAGAGCATCCCCAACATCCAGAACTTAAATCTTTCTGGAAACAGGCTAAGGTCTGTGCCAAACCTTCAAGGCATTCCCCTCCGATACCTAAATCTTGACGGGAACCCTCTAGTCAAGATCGAGAAAGGAGACTTCACGGGGCTGAAAGATTTGATAAATTTATCCCTCAGTGGCCTGCGTGGCTTTGGAGAGTTATCTCCTTATAGCTTCAAGGAACTACCAGCCCTCCAAGTTCTGGATTTATCCAGCAATCCCAACCTGAAGGCACTGACTGCTGAAGTTATCTTTGGTCTGAACTCCCTACAAGAGCTCAATCTCTCTGGGACAAGCGTGTCGTCCTTGCCAAAGACTGTGCTGAAATACCTGCCTTCCATCAAAAGCATCACCTTGGGGAAGAACATACAGTGTCTTAAGACCATCAAAGAAGGACAGTACCACCGACAAATTGGGCTGACCAAAAAAGAGGTCCTCAGTTGCCACGACAGCCACGGGTCTGTAGCAGCAGCGCCTTACGTTTTGTGATGAAAGCTGAGGAGACGGGGTGGGGAAGGGAGGGCAGGGGGCCGCGGGATTTGTACAGGTGTCGGACTGAGATGGCTTGCAGTGTGCCTTTTGTAAAACTGTCGATAATTTATATATTTGTATATGCCAATACTTGATTGTTTGTGGATTTTATAAACTCTCAAATCCTGGCCCACGTCATCTGCAGGCTCCAGATTTTACCTGGTGCATTGAGGTCCTGAACGGAGCGGTGATGCTGGACGATGGGGACCACGCTACTCTGCAGGTCCCAGGGCAGAACAGCCAGTCTGGAGCAAACCCTTCGTGCCCCAGACACGTTTGTAGGAGCAAAGCACACACTAAAACGTAACAACTCCGTAGCTGCTTGCTTACAAACCCATGCATCATCCTTTTTTTTAATTATTACTCCCCAAGAAGTGCCTTCTGGATGCTGCCTTCATTAGCAGCACCCTGTTCCCTGTCATGCACTTTCAGTCTTGAAGAAACATTTCCAGACAAACCTGAATACAGGGTGCTCCTAATGTGCTGCTCTTTACATGTTATTTGCATAGGTGTGCAATGAACATTGAGTAAGTCGAGAACTTTTCCCACAATTTTCTCCCTGTTTTCCCATCTCGATCCTTTTCAAGTCTAATTACTTTAGGTCCGACTTTGGCAACCTCCTGCCTTTCTAACCTGAGCGAGCGATGGCTCAGAGGCGACGTGCAGCAGAGCAAGGGAAGCAGAGGGGTCTGCCAACAGCCGCGTCTTACCCAGGAATCAGCCTCCAATGAAGCAAGTTAACTGAGTTGCAAAGTGAAGAGATCCTGTAGCCTAGCTTAAAAAATAAAGAAAGAAAGAAATCCCTCCTCCCTTTCTGGGGAAGTTTGGAGGAAAACTTTGACAGGGATTCTGGTCTTGATGACCTTATCAAACCAAGACGCAGACCCAGAGGATATGAGAGTAAGCTGTTTCCATGCTGACATTCCCCATCTGAACACAACATCTGCGACTCAGCTGGGCTCGTGTGAGGCAGTTTCCAGCACTGAAATGCTCTCCAGAACGTGGCAGGGGAAGAATTAACACTGACGCCTGCAACCCTGGAGCGCTTTGCCTATCAGGGGAGAGATCTTGGAGGGTTTTTTTCCAGAGTTGTGGCTTTTCTTTCTCTCACACAGCTCCTTGGCTGCTAACTGAAATCTGATAAAAAGCCCGGTCCTCAGATATTTACTCATTTTTTTGCTCCATTGCTGAAATGTTGGCAAAACGAAGGGGAGCCCCTCTCGTCCTTCTTCTCCAGGCTAGAAGAAAGTGGGGAAAGGCAGCACAGCATGAGCCACCCTGTGTGAAGCCTTCAACTTGCTTATAGGAGCTCCTGCAATGCAAGTGCCTGCTGAGGTCTGGTCCACATCTGGCACGCTCTGTCCTGGGGATGGGAAGGGATGTTGTGGATCAGGGTCCTGCTTGGGCTGATCTGCAGCTTGGTCTCTCAACCCAGCTTTGCATCAGGGCAACCTTCAGTGTCTGAAACTGATTTAGGAAGGGTCATGCAAAGGTGATGCAGTTATAAACCCATCCCACAACCTTCCTTGGGAGTGTCGGGAGGAGCTCAGGCTTCACCGTCACACCCCCCAAAGGTCTTTGCAAATGGGAAACCTATTGCCCAAAGCCGCCGTTTCCAGGGATGGTTGAAACCCACTGAGCCCACAAAAGCCAGAGTCAATACTTCACTTTGGATACTGAAATCCCTCTCTCACATTTTCATCCATCTCCTTTTCAACCATGGATCTTCGGGTGGGTTTTTAATACTTTCTTTCAGTGCTGGGGGATTTCCCCCTCTACTGAGCCTTTGCAATGCTCGACCAGCCTTCACAATCACAAGAAACATTGATTTTCTTAAAAAGGCAATGAGACTGCCTACAGGCAGGGAACTGGAGTGGAACAGCAACCAACTGCAGTGCAAGACGGGGGCAGTTTGGGAGGAAGGGGGTGTTTTTTAGTGGACGTTGCCTTTTTAAGAGAATTCTTTTCTGCTGGCAGAAAACGTAGTTTTTTAGAAAGTTGTTTAATTTTATAAGTCTGTTCATAGATGAAATGTTTCGGGCATCACATACTGTCGAAGTTACTGTCACTGCGCCACTGTGGTAAATTTAAAACCAAATGTGACAATCCAGTTGAAGACTGCAAGATTTCCTTGTGTAATCTCATGCTAGCTGCTAGCTAAACAAGTCTTAGCAAAAGCTGGCAAATACCATCGCTGTGTCAGTTTGTTTTTTTAAAGAAACTCTGCAGCATTGTAAGGCTTTGTGATTACTCACAATATAATAAAGTGATTTGGAGGAGAATAAACCCCCGGATTTATTGCCTTAGTGCTGGGAAGGCGGCAGCTGTCGCTGCATCCAAAGTGCACCATGGCTTCTCTCCTTGCTCTGCTCAGCCCCACCAGCCGTGAGGTGTTGCACCTCCAAACTAGGGGCAGGATTTGTCCCGCTGTGTTTGGCTCACTGGGCTCCTCCCTGGCAGAAAGGCCTGAGAACTTCACTGACTCAAAGGCAATTATGGACACGTGGCGGTGAAGGCGCACAAGAGTGTCTGGAGCAAATTTCTTGCTCCAGGATCTGCCTCAAAGCTTGTCAGAGATGGTGGTGATCTCTTCATGGGTTTGGCCAACCTGGGACACGGTCTGCTAGGGTTGGAAGGCTGGATTCGCAGAGTAGGTGATGTGGGGAGAGCCCACGAGCTGTTTCACAAGACCACGGGGGGTGGGAGGAAGCGAATGGGTGCAGGAGCGATGCCGTGGCGGGGAAAACTGCGCGCTGCCAGACCGCAGAGCTTTTGGTGCTGAGATACACATGGACCAGTCTCAGCACCGCTCCCTGAAGAGCGGGGGCTGCTGCACGGAGGGCTAAGAGCATCCAGAGCCATTGCAACTAAAGAATGAATAGAACCCTCTCAGCAGGGCTTTGCCTGCTCTTAAACAGAAGATTTAATTTTAAGCATTTCCCAGTGCTGTGTATAAAAGCGGTGCCAGCAGAGCCCCAGTGAGGAAACCACCTCTGGGAAGCTGCAGTGTTCCCGGTCCTCCCAAGCCTGAAGGAACAATTGTATCTTCCATCCAGGTAGGCAGAGCTGCAGGCTGCCTGGAAAGAGGCTCTTGGTTCTCCATCTGCTTCCCAAAACTGCCCTGTCCTCCAGGATGGCACGCAAGGTACAGCCAGACTATAACCTGGGGGTTGACATCTCCAGGAGAGGCCAGATCTTGCTCCCAGCACTGTTATGGACCGTAGGAGAAAAGCCATCACCAACCCTGTTCCTCTGGTGTTCACCATGAGGCTCTGACCATTAGCCTACACCACCATGCTCCCTCTGGATGGGATCCCTCCTGCCCTGGGATGCGGGCTCAGTTGGAGCAGTGCAGAGTGTCCTGGGGAAGGATGCTGTTCCTGGGAGCAACAGGTCTGAAGCTGGATTCTCCCACTTCCTTGTGAATGCCCCACTTATATGAAGCTCCAGCGCTGTGCTGGACCTTGTCCCCCCCAGTACTCCTTTGCCCCCTTGCCTTAACATCTTATTTTGCTAGTGATTTTTTTATTATTTAAACAGCCTCTGGATGGGAAGAAGCATGCAAGGCTCCGTCAGCAGCGTGAGCCCCCGCATTGCCCACACATGGTGTCCCTCTCCACCATGGCACGTGAACACCTGAAACACAGCCCTGATGTCCCCATGGAGGACGAAAAGGCACATGGTGGCTCCAGGCTTGGAAAAGTCGAGGAGGCCCTCATGCCAGCTTCCTGAAGCTGCTGTCAGCTAGATAACACGGTGTGACGGACTAAACCCTGGTGTTAGACATCACCCCAGCCACCCATGCCAGGAAAGCTGACCAGGTTGGTTAGCTGCAAGCTCTGGCTGTCTCCAGGACCAGCACAGCTCTGCGGCTGGATACATTTGCCCTGCCAAGCAAGCTGGGCGTTTTAATTAGAGGCTGAATATTTTTAGAAGCAGGAAAACCTCAGTGGAGGTTGGGCAATAAGGATAGGCTGGGTTAGGGAGGGGGGAGAAGTAGCTGAGCTGGCGTTGGCTTGCAGCACTCTGTCTCCTGGAGGGTTATCAGCATCTCACACCCCTTTCCAGCATGTTGGGAAAAAGCATTGAGGGTCACTTCCCCCATCCACCTTGTGCCCAGGGCAGCATAGGACAACCTCCTCTTTATTGGAAAACATGTACCTCTTGGTACCCAAGACCTCCCTCCCATTTTCTTCTCGCCAGTCTGCTGGAGCTGTTTCTCCTGGCTGTCAGCTGTCAGCCTACAGAAGTCCCTCGCTGACTGATTATGTGACTGACTTCATAGCAGCAGTAGGTGCCGTCCCTTTTAAAAATAACTGCTCCTCTGTACATTTTCCATTTTGCAGGAGGTTTTTATTTCCAGCACGTTTGTTCCACACACCCTGGCTCGGTCAGGCTGGAAAGCGCGGATGCACTCTTGCCATGCCAGAAAATAACGCTGCACGGCTGGGCATAATCCTTCTGGCTGCCCCGGGATCTGCCTCCTGGGAAAGCTTTGGGGCAGCGAAACTCTCTGGCCCATGCATGTTTCTAGCGGCAGTGCCGTAGCATTATCCCTGTCCCATCACCCCTGAGATATTCCCTTCCTCCCCTTTTTTTGAGTGGACAAGCAGACCTGGGAACCTGATTAAAAGGTGGAAAATTGGAGCTGAAACTAGGCCATCAGATAAATCCTTTCCTGTAATAAGCAGGGAGTCGAAGCACCGGCCCTTAATCACAGTCTTTGTCTCCTAGCATTTGTATGCCTGTGTGCACGCGTCCCTCAGCGCCAGAACAAACTCGCCCCCCC